ACTACGTTGTAGGATAATAACAATGCAAACGATTACGTAATGAAAGTTTCCCCTTTTGATCGCCGGAAAATTCTTCCCATATACCCTACCTGTGCAAAATTATTGGTTCTTATTTCAAGGGTGGTTTTGCGAGTTAGCGCCTATAAACCGATTTTTATGTCTCAAACCATCACTTTAAAAAAAGACATTCAACAACCTTCCATTCAAATATACCGGTAGAAAACTTTAGTCTAGTCTATCAAAGCTATTTCTAGACTAATTTTTGATTACTGCAATTAAAATAAAACTGCTACGAAGACAATGAATATTGAGTTAGTTGATATAGACTACGTTTATTGTTAGGTCAAATTTTGCAGTTATGTGAATTGGCTGATGTTTCGGCAGCAAATAAGGAGGTCAATGTCCGGAGAAACAACTATATATCTAATTAGAGATTTATAAAGTTGTAGTACGTAAATTGAAATTGTTTTGCAACCCAGTGTGGAAGGTTTGGGTCGTGACCCTGTTTTTGCGAACCCCTGATCTGACCTATCATCATTTAGAAGGTTAAGTTAATAACCCAAAATTCGGACTTATTCGTTCTTTATTCCATCAACAGTAGATGTCACAATATTTAATAGCCTATAAAAGCAGTGAATTTTTACTCGATTCAGGTAATAACGTATGCATGATTTGTTGAATTGATGGAAAAACATGGGAAATGAATAATGTAAAAAATAATTTTTGTCAAAACATGTCTTGTGTTTTTTTCTCAGTGTCAGCAATCAATATCAAAAGCAAGGAAAACTTGGTGCAGCATTGTTAACTAATTTTGCAGACAGAGATGTGAGCTAACTTTGTAAATCTATGACTAGACCTATATTGATCATTATTAAATCGTGTTGCGACTACAGATATTTATGATTTTTCACTATATGAAAATTATGCTAGACAATAGACACCGATCACTACTGTGCGGTTTCGTATGAATGAATTTTTGCACTACAGATATCTGACCCAAATGCTTGTATCGCCCTTTTTTAATATATCGGTAACACTTGGAAATACTGAAATTTTCAATGGACTACCGAGGTATCACTGTGTTTAATTTGATAGGGTGATGTCACTCACTGATGTCAATGATACCACTGCCAGTAAATGGGCTAATATATTTCCTTTAATTTTTAGTACAAAATTTTAATGTACGTCAGCAAACAACAGCCTGTTACAACAGCAAAGATATCTTCAGAGTTTCAGTTTAATGTATGTTCATTATTTACATATTTTGTGTTAACTTCTTTGATGCAGATTTTTAAGCACTTACTCAAAACTGCAAAAATTAAGTACAATATTTTATTATTTGTATATTTAAATCAGGGTTCCATTGATCATTGCTTTTTTTACCATGGGTGAGAAATAGCTTTTTGATTTTGATGTACAGAATAAATTGAAAAAATTTTTTGTATCAACCTTTGATGCTAGTTTTCATTCACTCAGGTCCTACCAAACAACTATGCATCCTTTTATGATGACCAACGACAAATGTGGTCAGTGCTGTTTGATAAAAGTGACCAGTTGGTTAATTTTGCGAAGCAGGTGAGATATGTTTTTGGCGTTTTGATTGGACTTTATTTTGTTAGAACACCACAAGTTTCGTGGTTAATAAATGTTTTTGCTATTCGCTCGAGGCCGTATTGGAATTTTCCACTTTATTTTCCGCCTTCAAACACACAAGCAACGTGTTTCTACTTTCTGATTCATGAAGTATTATTCTTTTAAAAGACATAAGCGTATCATTTATTTTCAATTCACTGAACACTTTTTGTGGAATCAAATTTATTTGTCCACCAGGAAATCCAAATTTACTTCCATTTCAATTTTTCATCAAAATCCATGCTTTTCTCTCAAAAGCTTTTTTGGTATCTTGCATTTGAACAGGGTAATTATCAAATTAATAATTTACAGGTTTGTCTTGCAAAATACAATAGTGCACAGAATTCCAATGTTGTTGTTGTTCAAGAATTGCAACTTGGTGAACAAGATACTTCACCATTGAAATCAGGGGATTCTGTGGAAGCCAAATATACTGGATGGCTTGTGCAACCTCAGAATGGTACTTTGGGATCTGTATTCGACTCTAATCATAAAACAGAAAAAACTTTCCGGTTCAAAACAGGCAAAGGAAAAGTTATTAAGGTGAATTGATTGAATTCTGAATGCATATGCCGTACAAGTGGTTTGAATCTGAGACTTCAAATTTATATACCAAATTAAGCCAATCATGTAGTGTACACAATATTGGGTAAACTGGGTATGCATTAACAGAAAAATTTGTATTCACAACAGATGATAACACCAATTTGACTGTGTAACCATTGGGTTGACATACTAAATGCAAGTTTAGGATTTCTATATTTACTTTGGTGAAAGAAGAGAGATATTGTAAAAGACCCGATGTATGTCAATTTGGCCATATATTAGAAAAGTAAAAACTAATAATTTGAAATATTTATATCGGTTATGTCAATTTTATCACTTCATACAGGGCTGGGAAGAAGGAATGCTTGGTTTGAAAAGAGGTGGAAAACGATTTTTAGTGATACCTCCTGCTCTTGCATATGGATCAAAGGGAGCTGGGAATAAAGTTCCTCCTAATTCAACACTTGCTTTTGAAGTTGATATTTTGAGAGTATGTTTTAAACGAACTTGATTTTCGATATTGTTTTGCTTCTATTAGCTCAAGTCAACCCTGATAAACAGGTTTTTATGGAAAGAAAATGAATCGTTTTGTTAAATTTTTGTTGTCATTGTTGTGATACGCAAGTAACAGACCAACCTATTTCAAATCTAAATAAGTTTTCATTTTAGTTCAGCCAGTTTTATGGAGCCGACAATTCACTTCAAATTCTTTTTTTTTTACAATTCTTTGGCACACGTTCATATGACAGGTTATACCAGTGGTTCTTAAACTTTTTGAGCCGCGCCCCCCTTTGAAAAATTTTATGAATTTCGCGTCCCCCCTTTTTTGCTTTGGAAAAATACTTTTGTAATGGGCAGGTTGCTTTATAATAAGATGGCGCTGTAAGACTGCTGGTATCATAGTGTCATTGCTCAGATTTCTTAGGCATTAAACGCATCGGGGTACAATTTCGCCTTTTACTGTCGTATGTATAAAGCCATACACAAATACTGGTCATCATACATTCTCTTTTTTCCGCTCATTTTGCAATACCTGGTGAAGTCAACTTAAGTTTTTACGTAAAATTAAACACGCAATAAACGTATGCTCTTTGCGCTTTAAGGTATTTTCTGCATATACGTTTACGACACGTAAAATTTCAATCGTTTACTTCACTATTGAGCAATGCAAAATAATTACTGTGTGTTAAAAATACACAACAATTACAGACTTCTTGCTTGCCTAACGTCTCTAAAATTCACTACCAATACCTTTGGACAACCACCAGGTCAAAAATACAGATTACACAATGGAGTAGTGCAAATGAATTTTTGTAAATTTGTAGCATAAAAAAGCCGTTCAATTGTTAATAGTAATTATGCATGTGGACTTTTCCCCGGCCCTTGAGCGCTGAAAAATAAAGTCCCTAATGACGTTTGCGATTGCATTTGGTTTAAATCACAGATTGTTTTCGCCAGCGTGACGTGTTATTTAAGCCGTAGAAATTTTTATTTTGGTGTTTATCTCCCTAAATCGGAATTTCTCTCAACAAATATTTTGTGCCGCGAAGACATGATAATTACTTTTTGCGTTCTCGCATGGAACCATGGCACCTGTGGGGAAAAACGAGTTAGTTTTTATTATATACTCATATCAGCGACGAGACGCTAAAGATAGAAAAAGAAGTGAATCGGCAACCAAAAATTTCATGGTGGAAAAAGTGTCATTATAAAATACTAAAACGGAAAAACCAACAGGTTTTGTTATGGGATGGAACGTTACGGTTCAAAAACACTTTCTCAGACATCGCAAATCTCGTATATTCCTCGTTCTTGCGGCACCCCTGTAGTGTGGATAAAGCAACCATTTCAAAAATTTATATCGATCATGGATTGAATGTTTTATTCAACAGGAAAACCAATACATAACCGTTGAAAAAGTCGGCTATTTTAACGAGTGGTGTAATCTCAACAACTGACCCAGGAGCCGTAACGCGGGTGTTATGGGGCGATGAATATGTATTTCTGATTTACTAATATACTTCATATGTACCGTAATTTCATTGTACTAAATTGAATATATATACTTTCTAAGATTTTAAACCAGATCTTTCTAACGACAATAACGAATTTGCATGAGCGCAATATATATCAAAACTAAATATTGTCAGGCAGTTGAATTCACATCCTTATGTCCAGGGATTGATGTTGTATTTTAGATCTGTAATGAGTTTATTTTGTCATGAGTCCCCGCGACCGCGAGCTACCTTGAACACAAATGGAGTAAAATAGAGAGACATTTCGACATTTCTTGTAGTTGTCATAGATTGAATATTGCGGGACAAAAAAGGGGTATTATACCGTGAAAAAGCAGGCATTTTTACTGAACCGAAGACCGTTTCGAGAGACGTTGCATGGAAATTTTCGATTCCATCTTGTGACCTCTCGCACCCCCTACCCCCCCTCTAAAAGCATCTCGCACCCCCAAGGGGGGCGCACCCCCCAGTTTAAGAACCACTGGTCAATACTAACTAATCAACCATATTTATTTTATTTAATTATAATATATTCAAGCACTGGATTCTATGTTATCAATCTTAATTTCTGTGCAATGACTACTGTAGGCCCATCATCTCTTAAATAAAAATTTAGTAAGGAATAAGCTAAAAAATGAAAAGCAGGATATTGTTCAGGTAACATTTAACATATAATAAAGTGATAAAGTATAATCCAATAAATACAATTTTTATCTTTATCACAGATCAAGCATCAGGGTACTGATAATTCAGTCCAACAGTCCAACTCTGTTGAGTCTGTTCCTCAATCACTGGCTCAAGCATCTGAACCAGGTTAGATTATAGTTTGTAATATAACTGTCCTAATTACTTAAAGTATAACTGCAGTATATTTGAAATATCAGGATTTAGGATAAAATGTTGTCATATTCGAATCATACTGATAAGTCATAGTTCAAGGATATCTCATATATTTTAAAAATATAATATGAGTATTTTTTATATTTATTTATTAGTAGACCCGGGACTGTTTCTATGTGCATTTAAAATGTGGAGACATTGAGCTTTGCATAGTAAGCTAGCGATGACACATCTACAATCGGTCGCTGTTATATATTAATTTTTTTTATAAAAGTATAAAAAAATTATAAATTGAATCGACTACTCAGGACAATGTCATTGAATTTGCACTGGTTGTACTTACTATCAAAATTTTACAAATCTTTTCACATTCAGGATTAAAGTTCCAACTTCAAAGTATTGGGATTATCAATTTAGTGAAACCACACAGGATATATTTGTTGGCCTGGGTTAAGTTTACCCTTATTAATATGATGTATTAACAAATGAATATTGTTTTGTTTATTATAAACTCTATTTTTCTAGAACCAAGTTTTGGACAAAATTTAGAAGTTCCTTTCGGTGGAATGCCAACAACTGGGTGAGCTTCTTTTCAAATAATTAGAATAAATCAAATAGTAAATTTAATTTTATTTAAAGAACAAAGTTTCCCAACTGGGAGGACATATGAAAATGTTCTAGGGGAGGAAATATCACTTTGCATTTGGTGTAGTTCAACAAATATTGTTCAACAATGATAAAACATAGATAACAACATCTATCTTGCAGGAATAGTTAGTATGGTCAATCAAATCTCAATTCCTTTTCCTTTATTGCCCTCTCTCAAATTAACAGTTTCATTAATTCCCAGAGAGGAAACAGTCAAAGGAAGAACAGCTTCTTTTAATGAACAACTGGCTCATGTAAGCGTTTCAACTTTTATTTATTTTAATTGTAATGCATTATTTAAGCTAGATTTTTCGACTATAAATTAATAGCCAATTTTCAAAATAGGCCTTGTAGCTTCATTGTAATTATATCCTCTGTTTAACAGCAACAAGTCGATAGTAGTAAGGCCAAATTACTATCAAGAATGGCTAAAGTTGGTCAACCAATGTTACCACCTAAACCATCAGCAGTGGCACATTCACAGGAACCTGATACTGGACCAACTCAACCAATGGCAGTTTCTTCTCAAGTTCATGCTCAAGCTCCCTCTCAGTCCCAGACCCATCAAGCTGTTGCTCCAGTTGCCCATACCCCACCTCAACAACCTCAAATGCAGATGACAAGAGAAATTTCTCAGGTAAAAAATCTCTATAGGCCATGGAATTTTAGGATTTCTGGTTATGCTCAATCATGCCATGTGCCTCCTTTATGCTTAATAATATGAAAGAATTCAGGTTGGAATAATTTTGCATAATTTAAATTAAGTGGTATGATGTGATCCTTCCAATTATCAGCAATTGGTCAACTTTGTACCATTCATTTATTAGTTTGGTATATTATTTCAATGTTGGTTCAATATGCGGCCAAATGCATCACCCAAAATTAATACATAATTTTTGCCTCCCCTTCTTGCATCTTTTATATTGAGACTTCTTTCAAACTAGTGTGTCTGTCACATCTTTATACTTTAAAATTGCAATAATGATTTCAACTTTCAGAGTCCTGCATATCCAGCAATAAGTCCAGTTGCAATAGATCAGACTTATATGCATAATCCTCACGCTACATTCCAACATTCAGGACATTCCATATCTGTAAGTAGAAATGACCATTAGTCTAGAAATCAAGAAAGTTTTACTTTTCCTTATTACGAATAGGTTTGCTGTATCAAAATCGTTTTCTTCTTTCTGGAATTTAGCTTTGCTCTTCATTGTGATTACAACAAAATTGTCTTTTATATCTTTTGATAATATTTGAGGGCCTACCCTTCTTGCAACAAATAATATTTAATTTTATTTATCGAGGCTTTTAATAAATATAAAGAAGTTCGACTTCCAGCCTCATCTCAGCTGTACTTTGCAGTTTACTCGAAAATTATATGAAAATCAAAGTTCTTAAGACGTTATATGCATTCAAGATAATCAATATTCCATTGTATCATTTCCCAACTTATCTTGTTCATGAGCCTTTGGGGTGAGAGAGTAACTTTGCTCATAAAGCCAGAGTTCAATTTGGAGTTGGATTTTCATATTTATACAAGGGGAGACTGAAAGATTGCGCAGGGTAGGGTATTCAGAGATGCGATGGCAACACGTAGCACATTGCGCCAATTGTCAAGTCAAATAAGTTGACATGATGAGGTTCTTTATTTTGTCTCAATGTCTTGGTAAAACACCAACTTATTAAAATTATTGAGGAAAATTATTTTTCGGTTTATTTTATTTCTTTTATTGTAGCCTCACTCAACCTTTGGAATGATGCAAAGCAATCCGGTACTCAGTCATTTTCAGCAATCCTCTGGTATAATGCCTTACGCCGGAATTCAACCTTCGACATTTAATCATTTACAGGCATATTCAAACCAAACAGGTAATAATTCCAGTTTAAGTATTTGTATAAACATATTTGTATTACTGGAATTTTAAGTGTTTGTATATGTGAATCATTTGCTATTTGTTGAATGAACTTATTATTATTTATATAATACCAAATTATAATATTTTATAGAATATCGACTAATAGATCACATTGATTTTATTTTTCAGGAGCTGATTTTTTACCAGCAATTTTGTCTGAGTCCCAGAAACAGAGTTCTGACATGAAGGTTTTGTTGGACAAAATGGAAAAGGTTCGTGTAATGTGTAATCTTGAAATTAGAATAATGGCTGGTTTGATGGATTGGTTAAGCAAAACCTGTAAAATTGAAATGTGACTCAACAATTATGAAAAAGTTTGATATACAGTATGTGAGTTCAGTTATTTAGAAATTTCAAAAGTTATTGAGTATTGACTTTGAATTTCAAGAGGAAATGGAAATCCTTATTAATAATTTTTATGCATTGTTGTCCTCTTTTACAATTAAATAAGATAAATACTAAATAGGAAATAGGGACAAATAAGTTATACGAATGTCAATATCTGAATTGTTTGCTATTATAGTGTTGTATATTGTGATTTCGACTGATTTAGAATATTGAAATTGAATTTGCTTGCTCAGGTTTCTGATAAAGTTTCAGCGATGATGAAAGTTTCTGAATCCCAGCAATTGAATATATCTTCTGCTGACAATATGGATGCTGCATTGTTATCTCATAATATTCAAAGAATAGTTCAGGTCATTTTATTTACCTTCTTTGGACTTTAACTTGTTTTTATTCAATCTACTACCAAAAACCAGACCCTCTACCCATCGCATACCAACTTATAAGCATATGGAGGATGCTTTCTGTAAGAAATTTGAACTCCAATTTTAGGTCAAACTCCTGTCTCTGGGAAATTAACTGACTGACTCCAATATCAATAAAAAATTGCCTAAGTCCCCCCCTGCTGGACTTGACAAACTATTCATCTTATTATTTGCTCCTCGCTGTGGATCTCATGTATAGTGGTAGAAGCAAAGCCTTAAACATAATATTATGGAAATACAGGAGAATGAAAAGATGAAGAAAAAAGTTTTGGAGAAAAACAAGCAAATTGAAACACAAAGTGACAAGATTGCAGACTTGTTGCAGCAAAATCAAAAGTTTGTTATCCAGATTTAATATTCACTTTAAGAAACAATAAGTATTGAAAATAAATGCAAATGAAAGTTCATGCTTTGTATATGGCTGTACCATAATAACAGCTATGCCTTAAATTTTTCAACATTTTCATTCAGATTAGTTGAGGAGAGTCATGCTCAAATGGAGAAGAGAAATACTTCATTTAAAGAAACTTTTGGACAAACTCAGGAACGAACTCTCCAACTTGAAAAGGAAAAAGTGGAACTGACAAGTAAATTGAGGTAATGCTATTATACGTCTACTAAAGCATTCTCTAATTTCAATTTAATCGACATCTGTATCAGTGCATAAATGAATCAATGCTACATCACTTCAATATTCACTTTTCAAGAATTTATTCCAATTTTATTCATTATTATAAATGGCATCATGCAGCCTGCCATTTGATGCATCGTGCTAAAACGAGGAACATGCATGCAAAAATACCTCTGATTACCCTGCACGGATTCGGATCCAGTGAAAAATAATTATGTGCCAAAAAATTGCTGGGATTCTCATTGTTGTACATAACTGTTGGTCAGATGCGCTTCGCTGTGGTATCGGTCTGCTACTAGAAAATACTAACTCCCCATTTCTGAGGATTTGTCCAAGCTGTTTTTTTGAGAGCTACTGATCATTTTCCCAACAAGTAAAAAGATATTATTTGTTCTCTATCCCTTTATTATAAGTTTGTCTGGTATAAATGATCGTTATTCGTTAGTATGTTAAACAAATATACATTTGAGTGATTATAGAAGCTATTCACTAAAATGTACCGAGTGACTGAAATATTTCAGAATTGCAAAACTATTAGGTTATGTAATTTTATCCTTGAATCATTTCTGCTCCCTGTTAAAATATAGTTTGCTTGGGTTGTTTCAACTTAACATACATAAAATATATTTCTATAGGAAAATTACAAACAGGCAAACGGTTGTAGAAATAAAATATTTGTTATTTTGTTTATTGAGTTTCACTTTGAACATGTGTCTTCTTTTCATTCTAATTTTACTTTTCTTCAGTGACGCAACATCAAAAATATGTGAATTACAATTGAATGTAGTTAATATGACAGATCGAGCAAATTCATTGGAAAAACTAGTCAAAGTATCATCTACAGAAGCTGAATCTAAACAAACTGCTGATCAATTTAAATATCAAGGTTTGTTTGATTTTAAATCAGTTCCCAAACTTTTCAAATTCATACCACTTTTTTTCGTAATATAAATCATTACGCTTCGCTTCGGAGAGAACATCTACTTTTATTACCATGAAATTGCAATAAAATTTTATATTATCTTTGCGCATTTAATCAATACAATTCATGAGTTTGTTTTCAATCACATAAACCACTTAGCACAACTTAATGTCTGAGTCATACTTTTCTCTCAATGTTAATTTTAACAGATTTTATCATTTGTGTCAAGTTTCAACATGAGCAGATAGAAATGAATTTAAGAAAATGGCTTTATATTGTGTAGTTGATATTGTACATGGTTTGGAACCCCTGTTATAAATGTTTATTGCTGTAATTAACAATTACTGCAATTATTAAAAAAAATAGTGATTTTTGATTTTTCTGATATTGGAAATTTCAGGCTTGCTTTATGCAAAATTTTCAGAAAAAAATTTCTTTGGTAATACTGTATTTTGGAGTTTTCTACGTTATAAATCTAATCTTCTATACATTTCCTTTCCAGAGATGGAGAACCAACTTTCTCAGGCTTCTAAACAATTGGAAATACTGAGATCTGATAAAATGAAACTTGAAAAATTATATCAAGATAAATCATCTTCTGCCGATGAGGAAGCAAGTCAGGTTAGTCTCGAATTTCCCTCAAAAATTTCAATCACTATGCGATTTTCTGCATTTATGGTAAATAATGATGAAATGTGATATATTCAAACAATTTCAAAGACTATATAATAAGATGAGAAAGTCCTGTTTTTTCTGATGTTAGAATTTGTTGCAGATTTAATATAATACCATAAATTCACTCGGCATTGAATATTTTAGATTACAACCAAATAAATCATGATATTTTCATAGATTAGTTGATTAGAGCAATGTACAACACCTTATCCACGGATGCAAAATGTTGATCAAGTAAATTGGATATGCTTATCACAGTTGCTGCTGTGGCTTTCACAATCTTTATCCCATAATTTTATTTGACAACAAATTCTTATAAATAATATTCAGTATCTAACATTCAATCAATAACTCAATCATCCTTTCTCTAGTGATTTATATTTCTTTGCCATTTATATATCGACTCATTTATTTATTAGATCATATCTTTTTAATAACATTACTATAGTATTGGTATTTTCCATCATGCTTGCATTTGGATGGTTTCACTGGAGCTCAGAGTATGGTAGGCATTTTTGCATAATGAATATTATATTGAAAACGTAAAATGATAACCAAAAAGTATGCACTTACTGATAACTTCTTCTTACACAACCAGGGGTGTAGCCAGAATTTTCAAGGGGTGGAAGTAGGGATCGAAATTGTGAAATCCCATGCAACGACTTTTAAAGAAGTCACCACAATTATGTCATCTGTTTTTTCATTGCTTTCAGAAATTAGGAGCTGCACAACTAGCATTTGAGGAAGAAAAGACAAGTCTTTTACAACAAATAGAGAAATTGAAAGAAAGTCATAGTGCAGAAATGCAAAGCCTACAAGAAAAATATCAATCGGAGTCTAGTGGTGTGAGTTATTTCAATTTTTCATGAATTCTATTGAACATGTTTCGAGATTGTTATAACGTTCTGTTTGTCATTCATTGTGCATTGGTTTTTGACTTTGTCATATCATTGACAGATAATCGCTTAGATTTTAGTGATACTGTTGATTACAAAACCACCGCAACAATTATCCACCATAACGAGTGATGCCTCGTCTTCTCCTTTGCAAAGTTTTATATAGCCAACCAGTACCTCCATTTTAAACAGGCCGTTGGTGTTAAAAACGAATTAGAAGCAAGATGGAGAGAAAAGTGCAAGGAAGCAGTCACCACGGTAACAAAAGCAGCAGAAGCTAAGTTGAATGAAGTAAATGAGGAAAAAGATGAACTTGAACAGAAAATTGAAGCTTATCAGAAAAAGGTAAGAAAAAAATTAAATAATTTGAATTATCATCTAGGATAATGTTGTGATTCTGTAAGAAAACCGAAGATTATTTGCAATAAAATTCGTTGTTCTTTTGTTTTTTATATTTTTCTTAATATTGTTCATTCATGTCTAGTTCCTGCAGTTGCGGAAAATGTATGAAGAAAAACTGAAGTCAGAAGAAGAATTGACGGAGAAAGTAGAAGAATTAGAAAGCATCCAAGAAAGAGTGAGAGGAATATGTTATTTGGTTTTCAATTTCAGAATGTCAGCAGATACAAAAAGTTTCATATCCAACAGACAGTTTTGTTTTTAATTTGCTGTCCAATGTTCAGAAAAATGTGGACATCGCTGCCTAAAAATACCTGTGCTTCAGTGTTGAACATGAAAATTAAAGTGGGTACGTTTTAAAATTGAAAGAGTTTGTGGTTCAAACAGTTTTTCTAGTACTGGACAACAGCTGCAGTGGTTGGAAAGATTTATACTATACCTATTTTTCCTATGTTACTAATGGCTCGGTAGTGCTGACCTTGAAATTTGTCGTAGCTTGAGTTGTGATATTTAATTTAATGATAAACTGAAAAATGTCCTAAAAGATTTTAAATATGTACTTCATTAAATAGACTCCCGATGTTTTGCTGACAAGAAAGAGACATAATTCTTGAAATCATAAAATTGCAAGCAGTGGGATCCAGATTTTATGCCAATTTGGACTATGCATTAAGGCTTCTTTGGTAAAGAAGTTGCAGGAAACACCAAAGACACCGTATAAATAAACTTTTGGCTTCATTTGACATTGCAATTTGAAATTCGTATTCAAACACTTCAAGTCTGCCTTTCAATAAGCTTCAAATTTTAATACTCTGATCTGCTTTGTGGGGTTATTATGAGATTCTTTCTGTGTAAAAAAAGTGACAAATATTACAACAGCATTTTTTATATAACAGGTGTTTCAAGTAATGTTCAAACTAAATGCTTTCGAGATCATTAGGTGTGCAAGATTTAGAATTATTCTTTTGTGAAATTTGTTCATTTATTTGACACAGTATGGTAAACTGAGGAATCAAGCTGTTGCAATGAAAGAAAAGTATGAAGAGACCATTGCCGAACTGAGGGAAAGTTCACAGGAAAGTCAGAAAACAGATGTTGATGTTACTGATCAGGTTAGTGTAGATTGTTAATCTGTTTACTTTTTCCTGATTTATGGTCTTCACAGAAACAATTTATATTTTAATATTGATGTAGGCATTGAATGCATGTGAGGGACACCATTAAGATCTAATTTTTTGCTAAATTTGTTAATATTTTCACCTTGCTACCTTTAAAAAAAAGAAACCTTGTCTTATGTATTGCTTATTCCAAATTGTGCAGTAATATAGTAACGATTAGGAATTGTATAAATACTTTTATTTTTGAAACGATGGTCATTATTGTTCTCAGATCAAGTCTGTAATGAATGATGTTTTTCGTCAAATTAATTCCAACATATCGTCTGATGAAGAATATGAGGGTAGTGAAGTGATGGGAGTCGTGCTCAATGTTATTAAGGTATTGTATTCTTCAGTAAAGCAAATTTTGATGATAATTGATTCCATTCGAATATTTTTGGCGCCATTAAACCCTTTGCACTTAGCATCAACTTTTCTGCGTTTTGTTGCCATTTGTCTAATTATAATTAAATTATAGGTTCATTAAACGAATAATTGTGAATTTTATACTTGTTAGATTATAATATAATTTAGTCTACACGTGTCTCACAATAAATTCTGATACGTAAAGAATATAATCGTCAAAACAGCTGCTTTGCTACTATAATTGAGTGAAGTGTCGCCGATTATATTACTTCAAGGGCCGTAGTTTGCCGACCCCTGATCTACGGTGTATTATTCTTTGAGTTCAATGTATAACAACTATTATAACAGTCAACTACTTTGAAAATACTGCAACCTGCATCCAACCTGACTGAACAGAGTGAGAATGAGAGTGAGGGAGAAGAGGAGATGAATGGGGAGGCGGAGAAAACTGAAAATGTAAATGAGAAGATAATAGTTGATTCTGAAAAAACCGCTGAAAATGAAACGAGTGAAATCGAAAATTATACAGAAAAAAATGTGGAAGATGATGTGGTGAATTCTGGTAAGTGAAAATTGTATTAACTGCATGGAACTAAGTGAATGATGCCATCCTGTGATCCACAAAACTAATCTGTGGGCTCCATTCGCTAAACTTTGTTACCATTTAACGTGTTAGTAAAGCACCAACTTTCCCGTAAAACAAGAAATTGACATTCACTAAATATCCTATATATCAGAGAGAAAATTTTCAGAGAATATTTTTTGTCAAATAGGACGTCTTGTAAAGTGCCTGATTTTCTCAAGTAATTGGCCTTCACCAACTGTCTTAACACTCTGGAGCAGAGGGTCAAAATTTTTCTTATTAGCAATTTGGCCTGTTCTTAACAGGGATTCTGGTTAAAATTGTCTTTCTTTAGTTTTTATATTCTTTCTGAAAATTCAATATGTATGGAGACTACACAATCCACAAAACTGCAACGGTAATAATCACAGAAGTCATTTATGCCTATTTTGATGGGACTAGTAACTGTTTCACTAGAAGACAGCTGTCAGTGTACACACGGGCTGGTACCGATAATAAACTACAGTCTCAATTAATCTGTTGATAACGGTACTATAACAATTCGTCCATTCCATTGTCTGTTACACTACTGTTGATAACGGTACTATAACAATTCGTCCATTCCATTGTATGTTACACTGGTAGTGTATGTAATATGAGCATTCCATGTATCCATGGACCAGTGGCGCAACCAGACCGTTTTCAACGGGGGGGTCCGACCGGAATTTACACAGTGCAACCACGACGTAAGTCGCAACGCCTCTAGATGTCGCCCCGCTGAAACGCGATAAAATGCTCGTGGTTAAAAGGGAAACGCCATCGATTAAATCCCAGCCTTCAGCTTACCTTGCACTCGTTCATTAACGGGCTTCGCTATGTCTTGCACCTCGTGGGTAGCAAACGCCGTTCATTACATTCCAGCGAATTGCTAACGTAAAGCTGTTAATTATTTTCAACGTTTCCCTCGCTTTGCGCCTCGTGGATAGTGAAACACGGCTTGAATAAATTCCAGTGTTTCCCTAGTGCCGCGCCTTGCTCGTTGGGTGAATTCGTCAAGACTAAAAACAAAATGCACTTCTTGCGAATGGACCTTTTCCCGACCCTAACCCCAGAAAAGTTCTAAACTAAACTGAAGCTCACCGGAAGACATGATGACAATTAAAATAATTGATTTACAACTAATTTTTGGAAACACAACTAAAAACTGACTAATTTAATGCAGGGATGTCCAAATCGAATTTAAATTCAAATATCGCAAACTTCAAATACTGTTTTTTCGTGTTTATAATAATCCCGAATATGGCGCACATATCCTAGCGTCGTCCATGTGTGGTTCGGCAATATATTACAGCTGACATGAAAGAATTTCGATAAACGCCGACTTGAAGAACTCATAAGACTTCGAGGAAGTTTTTGATTGAAAATATTTTCTTATCGTGTATTTTAACTTAGTCGAGATGGTTCAGGCGTCCTCGGCAAATTGTGTCTTAATTAGTTGTTTTCATCCTCAGTTTCGATAGTGACCGAACATAACAGGAAATTTTTTCTTTCTTGCAATTTAGCGCGTATAAAATAGCTCTTAAATAGTATTTAATATCTATCGCAGATTTCGACGGCATCCGGCGTTGATGACAACATCGTTCAGTTTAAGTTAGCGGTATTCATTTACAAACAAAAATACATAACAGCCGACATGAAATATTCAAATCAGCGCAGAGTTCAAAAATAAAACACGTTTTATGGTCTTAATATGCACATAGAAAGAAGAAAGGACAGAGAAATAACGACTAAAAACTAAGAACGGTATGGTATGTTTGTGTACTTTTGTTTACCATCGTCATCATAATCAAATTAGTTAAACCCGATTCCCAAATTTCCGTCCGCCAATAATGGAGAATAAAGATGGAAAAACGTGTTTTACTTTTTGAGTCGGCGTTGATTTAAATTTTTCATGTTATGTGTTATAATTTTTTTATTATAAACCAATACCTCCAACTTAAAATGAACGATATTGTTATCAACGACGCCGGGATAACGATAAAATCTCCGATAGAAACCAAATAATATTTAGAAGCTATTTTATAGAGTGCAAGAAATTAAAAAATTTCCCGGTAAGTTCGATAACTATCGAAACTGAGGATGAAAACAATTAATTAGGGCAGGATTTGCTTTTAAGTTTATTGCCGAGGCGCACAACATATCTTGACTAAATTGAAATATACGATAACAAATGTAAAAAATTTTCAACCAAAAACGTCCTCGACGTCTTATAAGCACTTCAAGTCGGAGTTTATTGAAAACCTTTCACGACGACTGTTAGTTATTGCCGTACCACACATGGCTGCGATAAAAATCAATATTTTTCCGAAAATAATTTTCGTATCCAGATTTTGAGAGTTTCTACTGCATTATTATAACATGAAGACGGGCGGCGTTACATTGCGTCAAGATGATGAAGCACGAGAGTATTCGTCACAAGAGAGAAAGAGATAGCATTATGCTATTGTCGCTTTCAATTCGCTATGACAGCGCGCGATTTCTACCTTTTTGAGGTAACATATCTCATTTTCGAATACAAACATATACGCGGGGATAGCGATTATTACGTAACTAACAGCAAAAAGGTATGATTGAAGTCGGGCGGTGTTAAATTACGTCGAGGTGATAAAGCACTGGAAAAAAGTAGTTTTCACCGGATTGTTATGACCGTGGAACGACGTTGTTTGAACGTAGAACGATAATAAAAAAAAACGAATTTCAAACGGGGTGGACACGACCCCCGTAACCCCCCCGCTGGTTGCGCCACTGCCATGGACTACTGTTACACGGTCCAAACATCTAGGTTTAGGCTGTTGATGGGCGCTAGATGCTTCCAGTCACTTCTTTGCTCCTGTTTTTTATTGGCCTTTGCTTACTACCTCTTGAGTGAAGAGGTGAAAGTACTTCTTATACCGGGCTAGTCTAAGCTCAGACACAAAATAGTTGGAGCCAATATACTTGAAATTAAATTCTAGTTGTGCATGTGGTTTTTTGTTGCAGTGACAGACACAGCAGCACCAGTTGTTGAAGACCAGGATTCTAATGTTTCTGATGAAGCGAAGGAATCAGATGACCAAAGAAATGAAGTTGGCAAGATTTCAACAGATGTTAAAGATGAAAAAGAGGTCAAAGAAATTGTGGAACAGCAAACTTCAGAAGAACAAATAGAAATCATCCATCAGTTGGATCAAACGGAAGAAGAAAAAGCTGTTGTTAGTCAAGTTCAATTAGTGACAAACGACCCTGATGAAAAAGCAGAGGAAAAAATTTCTTCTGAGCAGAATGAATCCGAAAAGTTAGTATATAATCCTACTTGAACAAGTAGAGAAACCATAAAAGTTTTACAAGTTCAGTGTCATGGTCAACCAGAATTGGATGGCGAACCACTGACCCGCGGGTCACAAAGTGACCCAGCGCGTTTTATTCGTGACCCGCCAAGGCACGAAAAATGCTAACATATCAGTGATAACATAACAGTGATCAGGATGATCAGTGATCAATTGATAAAACCGGCCTTAAATTAATCTAACAATAGCTAAACTATTATAATGTACCGTCAGTTGGTCAGTCAGGGCTGCGATCGCTCATATCCAAATTGTTAGTTTTCGAGTCGGTATGGTAATTGTCAAAACCCCTAATCTGGGACGCATGTTGGAACCGCTGTGTACTGTTGTTACTTATCGATCTCGATCGGTAAGTATGTTGATAGGTATTTGTCTGTCTGTTAGATGCACGCGATATCTCACGAAAGCGAATGTGAATCTGTTCCAAATTTTGCATGTTCATTCATCATATCTCGGACCAGGAGCCTATTGATTTTGGATGAATTATGTCGTATAATTGGAGAGTAATTAATTAGTTAGTGATGGGACACGCAGTGTCACTATAGAGTCATGAATCGAAACCGCAGTTTCGATCGATAAGTCTTCGGTCTCCGACCGATATTCTCGTTCAGTTATTGGCTCTGACATCGTTTATGACATAACAATGCAATTGATCTGTTCATTGCTTGCAAAATCTTGTCTCTTTCGATCTGCAGACTGTTTTAGGGGTTATACGAAAACTAGATGCTACTTTGCATTTTATTAGTTTCTCGCCTACAATGCCGTTGGAAAATTTTTTTTTCGGAATTTACATAAAAACCTAGAAATCTGACATATCAATGGGCAGTGTAAAATGCCGTAATGTGGTTGTATAGGGAGAGAGAGAGATGATGATGGGTCTTAGGGATAAAGACTACCAACCCTATATATTTAAGTTCGATTCCCGCATTATTGTTTTGACACGCGTTATGGAATGTGACTCCAATCTGGATTCCTTCAGACGATAATAAGCGCACAGTGTTGATGCTAATCGTTGTTGTATATTATTGAAAGATGCACAATCCAAAATTCCGAATACAGATAAAATTCAAACACACTCAACTCTCAACACAGTAAATCAGAAGTGAATCAACAGATAAAATTGAAACACACTTAACTCTTAACACAGTAAATCAGAAGTAAATCAAAACACGATATTATGCAGCCCCCTCGGCAAGCTGGAATGATACGTCATCAAATTGATCAATACGAGAAAGGCAGTACATTTAATCAGTAATCAGTGTTGCGACAATAAAATGACCTATTGTTTGAAATATAACACACTATTAAAATAAAAGGGTTAAATACATTATAATCCATAGTTACACAATGCACATTTGCTACAGTTGAAGGCTGATCAAAAAATATGACACTATCAGAGTGGAGTTCTTTCCAAACTCTTTGGAACCGTAAAATAATTTGCCGCATCATCCTAAGCGTTTTTTTGTAATTCATATGCGTATTTTCGTACTCTAATTTCATAAACTCGAGTGCCCTAAAAATTCCCTGGTAGAAATACTGCATAAGTAGAGTCCAAAACTACACCAACACCAGCAGAAGCTTATAAGATTTGTTTCAGAACTTTCTTATAGATACAAACATTGATTAAAAATATCTGTGACCCACTCTCTTCTGTTCCACGATAAAAATATAATTTTTGACCCATTCATTGAAAAAGGTTCGCAATCCCTGATATATAATATAGATGCAACACATGTGTTCACATTACAATCAAAATCTAAAGTTATATTATAAAGTGTCATTCGTTACATTGACTTTTTTGTATGCCTATTTATGCTGAAAAACTTGGCATATGAAGCCTTCTTATTCATTATTCAACAGAGACGAAGTTGATAACAAAACAGAACCTGTGGATAACAAATTGGATGAGGATGAAGAAAGATCACAGTCACCAGATATTATTGCCAAACCTTCACCTCCCCCTTTGTTTGATGATGACGAAGAAGATGAAGATGATGATTTGAATTGGTTAAAATAATCTAACAATTTTTTTGAATTTAACAAAATCTGTATTTCAAGTTGAAACTTATATTTACATCACCACTCACTTAGTAGGACATTTATGCAATTTTTTTAAGGTATAGCGAAATAGATAAATAATTTCTCTGGAATATGAGTTGAAAATAAAGTACGCATAATACAGTGGAAATACACACACGATTTAACTTCGGGCTACAATATAAAATAATATTGATGGAAATTTCCAGCCTTAAACTTTTTTAACAAAATAAATTTGCTATCAATGTATTCATGATTGAACCTGATTTGAATGATTCGCTAATACATATAAAGCCACTTATAAATGTTTCATGTCCTAAAACTTTTGCTGGAATGGGCATTACAATAACAGGTGTTTGTTAATTTGCTTTTTGAACTCTGATAGGAGATTTATCAATAAATATTTGTAAAATTACTATGTACTATGTATTCTATCGTGATTTTTATTAACAATATCCTGCAATAATGCATGATTGCCACCAGGTAAAGTCATGTTGATAATAAATAAAGCTGAACCAGTGTTAGCAAAACGGTGTAATTTGCCGACGTTTTGAACATGATGAAGTTTTCCTGTATAGAAATTCGAAACGTCTGCAAATTACATCGTTTTGCTAACACCGGTTGTGCTTTATTTATCATCAATATCCTGTAATGATTTGGATTTGTTGCATACGAATCAGTATGGACTATTAGTGCTAAAATGTTTTCAATACGAGCTGTGAAGTATTTTATATAAGTAGTTAATTGCATAGATAATTGCTTGAAATCCCACTAAATTGATTATTTGCTGTTGTTACTTGTAGCTGTTATCCAATGTTTCAAAATTCTTTTGCTTCTGAATTGTGCAATACTTTTTTGTTGATTTAAATAACTTGATCAGTCATTCTGATTTCTGAATTATTTAAAGAAGTTGTGTATTGCAGTGTGAATCTTTTTTCGCGCGGCGGTGTGGCTCAACGGGCTAAGCGTTAGGAATACGCTCGCCATCGCACCTCTAATTACTCTGCGTGGGTTTGTGGAGTGGAGTAAGTAATAGCCTAGAGCAGTGGTCGGCAACCTTTTTTAAGTGACGGACCGGTGAAGCCTGACGAAAATTTTGGCGGACCACCTTTAAAAAAACGAACTAATCTTATGCGATAAATTATACGCGTTAGGAAATTTATGTTGACAGTATACTAAAAAACAAAAGTGATGCTACTTATTGCGAGATCTGTATTTGTTACCTGTCATTTTTGGCTGTTGCGTGGCTCTGACGTCACGGCCACAAACCTTTCTTGTGAAAGGCTGAGTCTGGAAAATGTTGGCGCTCGTTTGTGGGTAATAGATAGGATTGAATGGGAGCCTTGATAACCTCGCCCAAGCCGTACATATGCATCATTTCTGAGGAAAACCCATCCGTTCGAGCTGGATGTACCAAATCCGAATACTTTGACGTCACAACTCGATTATCATTCATTTCATTAACTTTGTTATTACTGATAACTGGATAATAATTGTATCAAATATTTTTAAGTTGACACGAGAGAATTGAGAACGGGAGTGTTCAATATACAGCCGCCAGGTGACGCAACGCGAAAGTGTTATTTTTAGCACTGCCTCCCTCCCCCCGAGTTCGTTGATATACCTAGAAAATAGCCTAAGGGTATATAAAATGCCCTTCGCAAAATATGTACAGGTAGGTTTGGGTGGGTATTCTACGCCGTTGCGGTAATTAAAGGAACCGCATTAACTGTTCCCATATTGGAGATATGGTCGACACGGACATACGTAACGTGTTTCTTACATCCAGCCTACTTCGATATTTCGTTTTTGTAGTTATCAATATTGAAAACCAGGCCTCACATTAATAAGATGTTGGGAAATGTAACAAAAACTAACAATGCCTGTAAACCTTCTGTCTTTAGTCTGGGTATCTCTATTGATGTTTGTTTTGCCATGACTAATTTTTTACCCGATGTGCTAACTTTATGATTATCCTGATTCTAAATTATAGAGTTAGCACTGACTATGCATGACCGGTTAGCTACGAGCCAGTAGTGGGGAGTAGTCACGTTCTTAGCGAGAATCATTTTGTTCGACGGATCTTATTCGGACTGATGTGAGACTTTCTTATAATAGCTTAGAGCCGTGGTTCTTAAACTTTTTGAGCCGCGCCCCCCCTTTGAAAAATTTTATGAACTTCGCGACCCCCCCCCCCCCCCCCCCCCCTATTTTGCTTTGGGAAAATGATTTTGTAATGGGCAGGTTGCTTTATAATAAGATGGCGCTGTAAGAGTGTTGGTCTCACAGCGTCATTGCTCAGGCATAAAACACATCGGGATACAATTTCGCCTTTCACTGTTGTATGTATAAAGCCATACACAAATATTGTTCATCATACATTCTCTTTTTTTTTTGCTCAGTTTGCAATACCTGGTGAAGTCAACTTAAGTTTTACGTAAAATTAAGGTCAAAAATACAGTTTACACAATAGAGAAGTGCAAATGAATTTTCGTAGATTTGTAGCATAAAAAAGCCGTTCAATTGTTAATAGTACTTATGCATGTGGACTTTTCCCGGCCCTTGAGCGCTGAAAAATGCTCCCTAATGACGTTTGCGATTGCATTTTGTTTAAATCTCCGATTGTTTTCGCCCGCGTGACGTGTTATTTAAGCCGTAAAAATCTTTATTTCGGTGTTCATCTCCCTAAATCGGAAATTTCTCTCAACAAGTATTTTGGGCCGCGAAGACATGATAATTACTTTTTGCGTTCTCGCATGAAACCATGACACCTGTGGGGAAACGAGTTTTTATTATATAATCATCAGCCACGAGATGCTAAAGATAGAATAAAGAAGTGAATCCGCAACCAAAAATTTCTTGGTGAAAAAAGCGGTAATATAAAAAAAAACTAAAACTAAAACGGAAAACACCAACGGGTTTTGTTATGGAATGGAACGCGACAGTTCAAAAATACTTTCTTAGACATCGCAAATCTCGCATATTCCTTGTTCCTGCGGCACACCTGTAGTGTGGATAAAGCAACCATTTCAAATATTTATATCGATCATGGGCCGTTGAAAAAGTCGGCTATTTTAACGAGTGGTGTGATCTCAACAACTGACCAGGAGCCGTACCGCGGGTGTTATGGGGCGAGGAATATGTCTTTCTGATTTACGAATATACTTTATATGTAATTTCATTGTACTAAATCGAATATATATACTTTCTGAGATTTTATACCAGATCTTTCTAACGACAATAACGAATTTGCATGAGCGCAATATATATCATAACTAAATATTGTCGGGCAGTTGATCTCACATCCTTATGTCCAGGGATTGATGTGGTATTTTAGATCTGTAATGAGTTTATTTTGTCCTGAGTCGCCGCAACCGCGAGCTACCTTGAACACAAACGAATTTTATTAGGGCCTTGTCCGTTTTAGTGTCAGGAAGGTAGTAACCTTCCCGCAGACCGGGCCGACCACTGGTATTGATAAAAAAAACGGTGTAATGTAGCAGTTCCCAATGGGTTCTCGTGGCAAGTTTCCAAATGCGCCGCGAAAACGAACATAATTATGTTGAACCGTAAATATATACTACTACTAGATGTCCAACTCCGCTCGCCGTATAATAAACAAACAAAGGCGATGTTGCACCTCCAAGTGGCGGGCGTCACGGTCGGTTTAGTTCTGACAAGTTGCTTAACGACGACGACGCTCCAGCATCACAGCTCGCAAACTCGTCCTGTTCATTGATGACTGATCGAAATATTTGCTGAAGGACGTGGAGAATTTGATAAAAATAAACAAATAATTGTGAAAATGACACAGTCTGTCCTGCAAATGGTCAGGATGATGTGACAACTTCCTTGTCGAAAGTAAGCAAGGCATCAAAAATGCGATGCATTGCAAAAAATGTCAGTCAGATGTAGGTAAAGTGTTGACGAAAATGAATACTTTGCACTTTATATTGAAAAAAACGCATAGTAGCACAGCCTTTTGGTCTCACTCCATCTCAAGTATTGTAGCTTTTACAGAAGTTTTTTCTCCACTTGACCTATAATCGGGGCTGCCATAACGTCCTTATTTTTAGAATTTGTCCTCACTTTGAAGGTCTTTGTTTTAGGAAATATTTTCGTCCTTATTTCTAAGAAACATCTTTATTTTGACGGGTGTCCTTATTTTTAACCTTATGAATGAATAGACCAGTAAATTAAACTTTGAATTTAGTTTAGATCTGGAACTTCATAGGAGATAAAAATGAGTAAACGTAAAAAATTAGCCGTGATGATTATGAGAAAGAATTTAACGGCGTCAAACGAAACGAAGGGCCAGTGATTTGCGCACTGCAGCTTTTGTGAATGCGACAACAATCTGGAATCCATAGGTAGAGCAGCAATTTCTGTTAACAATGCAACCCAGAAACACAAGGCTCTGCTCAAGAAATTAATCAAACCAATCTATAAATAACTTTTTTAAGAGTCAATGATTATACAAAGGCTATCTCAACACATGCAAGCAGCTGAAATTTATTTACATCATCACATCCAACACTTGATATAAAAGAAAAATATTTTCAAATCATTCATGAGCAAATATCTATTAAACAATGTAACTGAATGTCAAGATGTAACAACACTACTTGAGAAAGTATTAAAATTTGAGCAAATGTATACGCAAAGTACTGCAGCCAAAATAATAACAACAAGATGGACAATAGGACTCATGGAATACGAGAACAATTGAAGAAACACAGCAGCTAGAACAAAGATTAAGATATATGTGATTACAGTCAAGTTTTCGTACTCCTGAAGTATGCGTACCAAGAAATGAGGACACCGGAACGTAGTATGTGTACCACGTTATGATTGGGCCAAAAAAATTTTCCTTATTCTAGTTCTATTACGAGTTCAGAGTCTAACAAAGTGAGTTTTGTAGTATTTGTACCTGAAAGTATGGCCTAACCTGGTACACATACTATGTTCCAGTGGCGGCGCGTGGTCATTTTGATAACCGGGGCAAGCTACTGCGGGACCAAGTCACCCCCATCTACGTGAACGGGATGAGCGCTGTAAGTTCTCCCATCATTTTATGAGTATAAAAACCATTCCATCGGTAACAACCAATCGGCAAAAGCGACAATTTTTAACGATAAGAAAGTGTCTTCAAAACCGGTCCAAGTCAAGGGATTAATAAATATAGACATAGTTTATTTTGAAACCTCTTTCAAAAGGAAAGGCAATATTTACCCAGATAAATACAATGACATATTAACAGAAACTTCGGGAAAGCAGACAAAACCTAAAATAAGGTTTAAAACGTTACTATGAAGAAAGGAAATATAATGCAGAGATAAGGACATGCGTCGCTCACTCATAGATATATATGCTGCTAGACTTCTACTGCTTGAACATATATGCAACACGCCGCGGTTTCTTGGAAGCAAAATGCTCAATAACGCGCTGATTAAAGTCATGCATCCCAGAAATGACGTCTCTGTGAATGGATAAAACAGCCAAGGAATTTAATCTATCTTGCTTCATTGTGTTTCTGAGATACGTTTTAATACGCTTCAGCGTGCTGAATGTTCGCTCTGCGTCGGCGGAAGAAATAGGCGTCGTCAAAATGATGTCCAGAAATTTTGCAGACGCCGCAAAGGTAGTTACTAGAGTGTTATCTATGAGGAACCCATAGAGCGCGCAAGTTGATGTGATGTTCAAAAAAGTTTGATTGGTGTATATACATCGCAATTCATTTTCCAATTTACCCACGTTTATCATGGGGTAAAATTTGGAGACAGTAGCCAACAAATGGATGGGAAATTGACGTGCAAATTTTGAAAAATTTGTGGGGTTCATCAAAGAGAACGCGGCAAGGTGTTCAGTGCGCAGACGATCGCCTATTTGATTCACCA